AAAAAAAAATTTCGGACTTTATTTTATCTTCATGGTGAAAACAGACATTAAACTTAATAAAAAAAATACGATTTTTGTAAAAAAATTCTTTTTTATATTTTTAACTTTATAATGCTATAACTTTTTGAAAGATGTATGGATCAATATAATTCTTTTTTTTGTAGATGCATGATGTCTTTACTTATCATTTGGTATATTTTTTTTATAAATCGGACCCTTTACCTGCCCACAGGGGGAGATTCAAAATGACAACTTTTTCACAAAAAACTAAACAATTTTTTTTGAAGGTTTCCCCCATTTACATTCCACGAGGAACGAGAGAATTTTTTTCAATTTTGAGGCTAATGTCTTCGACTAGATACGATTTGTGATCTTTTGACGTATCATTGAAAGAAATCGGTTCGGTGAGAGCTGAGAAAAAGTGGTAACATACATAAAAAAAAAAAAAACGGTAGCACAGTGGGGTCGAGGCACAGTGTGGACGAGGCATAGATGGGACAAGTATAGATGATATCTGACAGTGATTAAAATCACTATCATAAGAAACGCTTCGATGCAAATCTGTAGATAGTGTTTCCTTTAGAGAAATTGGTGAAATATTTTAAAAGCAACATGAACTCTTATTTCTTTAATTATATCCTGATTAGTAGTTCTTTGATTTTAAAATATAATATATGAATAAATACTAATTATAGTTTTTAAATTTAGTATGAAATTGTGAGGCCAGCTATGATGTATGGTTCATAGTGTTGGGCGGTTGATAAGAAAGTAGAGCAGAGAATAAGTGTAGCAGAGATGAGAATGCTTAGTTGGATGAGTGGAGTGACTAGAGAAGATAGGATAAGGAACGAGCATATAAGAGGAAGTATAGGTGTTGCGTCAATCGTGGATAAGATGACAGAAAATAGACTTAGATTGTTTAGTCATGGTATGAGGAGAGAAGAATCGGAGGCTGTAAGAACAGTTATAGAAATGAATGTTGAAGGAAGAAGAGATAGAGGAAGACCAAAAGAGATGGAGGGATGCTATTGAATGCGATTTGAGGACAGCTGATGTGAGCGTAGAAGATGTGGGAGATCGTGTCAAGTGGAATCTTAGGATAAGGGTGGCCGACCCCAAGTNTGGAATCTTAGGATAAGGGTGCCCGACCCCAAGTAGTTGGGATTAACACATAGAAAAATAAAAAGATTACCAGAAATTCCGGTGGCAATTGACATAATATGATTGTTGTTTGGGAATGTACAATTTAGCGTTTAGTTGGGTTTAAACAATATAGCGTCAAATCAATTACCCACTCTATCGGTTGTATCTTAATATACACTACACTTAAATGATACTATAAATANATATACACTACACTTTAATGATACAATAAATAAATAAACTCACACATACACACATATGCATTTATAACATTGTGTCTAATGTAAGTATAACATGATAAAAAGTAACCGTAAAATGAAAAAAATGGAATATAAATTTTAGTACTCATATTAAATGTAATGTAACTCGAAAAATATTTGTTTAAATGAAAAACTATAAAATAATTTGTTTGTTTATAATTGTTTTTTAAACAACTTTTGTACAAAACTTTTTTTTGTAAGTTAAATATTTATTGAAAAAATTAAAAAAGCTCATATTTTTGAACTTTTGCGAGGCTGTAAAAAAAAAGCTCAATTTCAATCAATGAGATACTATTAGTATGTCATTATACATATTTTAATTCAACTATTAATAAGACAAAATTTGGTTGGGAATTTTTTAAGAAATTTTTCCTTTGTTGACTGGCCTAGATGTCAATTTTAAACTTGTAATTGAGCTAAAAGTTATGGTAATATATTCAATTT